CCTTTAGGGTAGGTTGGGTCAGACAGCAGAGCGGGTTGTGATTGAACTGTCAAAAAAATTACATCCCATGTCTTTTCCCAAACACGTTTTCTTGACCCCGATGGAAAAGGAGAATTTACAAGGACAGCAAAAGACAACTGCAACTCTCACTTACATTAGACCACATAATCATGACGCTACTGACGTATGTCTGCCATGGATAGTGGTGTTGCTTTGAATGTTGCAGACACAAGGAACTGTAAAACAGCATCATCTCCTGTCTTTTTTAAAGGACAGAGCAGTGTGTCCTGTGCTTAAGGAGTAAGAAGGGAAATATTGCAGCACCTTTCCTGAGCATTTGGAGATTTGACCAGATCTTATTATGGCTTGATTGTTCAGTTAATAACTTTCCTGTACAAAAAAAACCCACTTCTGGCATACACCGTAGAGTTGCATGTGTCAAAAAAAAAAGTGAATCTGCATCAATAATGAAATATAATTTTCCAAAAAAACAAAGCTTTAAAAAGCCAGTTAAATACCAGCAAAGGCATCCAAATGGTTTTCTTTTTTTTCTTCTTTATTACACTGAATGGCATTCAGATCTGGTTTTGCATTCATCATAAAAAGCTTTGTGGTGCTGATTTAAAATATCCAAAAAATTTGCCACATTGCCTCATGTGGTAGCAACAATTGCAAAACACTGCGTCAGAGCAGCTGTTGTTGGTCAACGTCAAACTTTCTGTAGCCAAAATAGTTGCACATAGTTTGGTGTCTTTGTAACCAAATCTTCCTTTTCAGTGTTTCTCTCCTGTTACTCGCTCATATCGTTGTACACAGATAGGCCTGCATGTCAACATATCTATGTCTTGTAAATAAAGTTTATATTTTAAAAAAAAAAGTGGATCCAGGAACCCTTAAATCAGAGTAAATTATGTTCTATCAGACAGATTTCTCTTGTATGTGTGTGATTCATCATGGAAAATGAGAACTGTGTAGCTCTAGTTTGTATGAAGCAGCTAGAAAAGTTGTAGCATGATGCCTTAGAGTTCATTTAAACTATTTTACATTGCACCTCCTGCAATGTGGCCATCGCACATGTGCTGGTAGTGTACATATTAGCTTCCTAAAATATCCAAATGGAGCCTTAACTTACCACCATTACTAAATGATCAGTGCCCTTCTTTCTATGACAAGTCAAAATGCTGAGAAATAGATAAAGTTGTGTATGTATCTAGCCATTTAGATTGTTTTCTTCACTGAATTTGGTTTGTGGCGCCTACAGCACTGAAAACAGTTTCAAAAATTCTGCGACATCTCTATCTAACATTTTTACTATTACTCTAAATAATCCACTAAAGAGTATAAACTGCTTTTACAGGGAATATAATATGTACAACGTTGTTCCAGTGGAAACCATTCATGGCAACATTTATTTGACAAACAATGAAAAGCATTACTCTGAAAGGCAGGGTAAATAAAATTGTGAAAAGAGCAGCTTCACAGCAACTTTAGTTAGTATCACTGCCAAATACATTCCACTGTACATAAACCTGCTCAAAGCAGTCGATTAGAATATAGATTTTCAGAATATATCCGAGTGTATCTCTGTGAGGACGTCGTCGCTCTCACCTGGCATTCTCCCAAGGCCTCTCGTGTCTCTAAAGCTATTAAAGGCAGCCCTGTTTCTGAGCATGTGGATCCTGCTGCAAGGCTTTGTGCATTCTCTACCAACTTCCCCCATTAGACACAGCTCCAAGGTAAACTACATGCACCATCAACAAAACTGACACCCCAATCTATGGAGTTCATACACCTCCTCCCCCTCCTCGACCATATTATCTACCCTGCGTGACAAGCCGGTAATGGAAAAATCACACTAAGCAAATGGTTCTTCTAATAACAATAAATTTCCTATAAAATTATGAAGGGCCCAAACCGTTTCCTTGCATCTATTTTGCTATGAATTCTAATTAGGGTGCCAGAGAGGCAGAGAGTGCTGGGTCATCACGTCAGAGACAACGTGCGCCTTTTTGATTGATGGCCCGGTGTGGGGTCGGCCTATCCTCCCTTCACTCGCTTCTCCCCTGCACTCCTCCTCTTCCTCCTCCCTCCTTTTTCTCTTAAATTAATGGGCATCTCACCTAGCCCCTAATCATAGTACCCCCCTCCCCACCCCCTGCTCCTCCTTTCTGTTCTCATTTCAATTTTGCAGAAGGTGCAGAGGAGTGTGGGGGGGGAGGGAGGATGGGAGAGATCGATCATTTATCTTGTAATGGCTGGATAATAGATCCATCACGGTAAAACAGCTGCACAAACTCCTATGTTGTCTCTGTCATCAGGCCTTCCCATTTTCTCTTTAAACCATCCGGCCTATAAGCAGCCTCCCATGTGTCACAGCCATTTAACCAAACAGGCACATCTGTAAAGCTAAACGTCAGGAGGCCTGGACAATGGCACAGACATAACAATAACCAAATGTTTCCTTCTTTCACAGACACCATAGTGACGCCACCTGAACAGTATTTACCCACTTATTGGCAGTTAATTAATTGATTAATGTCAGATATAGTTACAAACCAAAAGTTGTCTAGAAAAGAGGTCTCAAAAACTAAAGTAAGGTCCCAATGGAGGTTTTTTTTTACCAGCAGATATGTTGGCGTTTCATAAAAAAGTAAAGGTTGAATTAATACCAAACCAGAAGCCAGAGGAACCCCAGCCTTGATGTAGTGCTTACTGGCTCAGTGACAACAGGCTCATCCGAGATTATATGTGTCTTGTCCGAAAAGAACACAAGAGCAAGCGGCAGCACTAGGGGACGTTGATAAAAGTCAGCAGTCCAGACTTAGAATTTCCAGCCACCTTTGGTTGGTACCAGACGTTACTAAAACATGCTTATGTGCCAAAATGCTATTGCATTTTTGTGCCTAAGTTGCATAAAGTTCCAAGCAAAGTGGTCAGAAGAAAGGGCTTGAAATCCATCTATATAGATATGTTTTCACTGAACTCAGTATTTCTTGTATGGTACCAAAAAAAAAAAAAACAATTACAGTGTAAAACTTAAAAAGTTTGCATACTGTCCAGTCTTCATTATAAAAGCTGTTACATTTGTGCTCCTCCTTCGAGAATCAGGACGAACTGTGTTACACTCCATATTGTATACAATATTAAATTTACCATCAACCTAGCAAACTCAGGTGTTTCTGTGCTTTATAATTTTAACTGTTACGGCAATTTTCCACGATACGGAGCAACTCCTGGCTCCTGGATCTGACCAGCATGCACTCTGCGGTGATCACCCATGATTGATTCCGCGCAGGTCTGCCTCATCTGAAACAAGCCTATTTTCAACTAAAATACCTGACAGAACAGTGCCTTGGCCTTCATTAACAAAATTAGCATCATGTGTTTCTTCGGCTAGGGCAAATGTTAAGGTCTGCACTGAAAAAGGGTCTACAGATACGGCCGCTATTCACGGTAGCCTTGTTACAGCAAGACAGCCTAAATCGGTGGTTCTCAATAGTACGCTGGTATTACGTTCCATCTAGTGGTAGGCAGAGGAATCGCTCAAACTTAAAAAAAAAAAAACTTTCATCTACCATCAAAATACTACAACAAATGAAAATTCTTTAACCACGATATGGCTGAAACTGGATTTAAAAATAGGTTTGCCTTTTCTGTAATATTGTATTATCAATAACATTGAATAACCGAAGAATAGTCATTGGTGGCAGCCCGAGTTCATCACAGCCCTGGCTCTGGATATGGTAAACAAACAAATTGGCTTGGGCAGACCCATACAACACCATACAGTGCATGCACTGTGCACATTGGTGCTCATACATGCGCATGTAGTACATACTGGCCTGGCTTCACCTCACTATCCTTCTGTTGGTGGAAAAACACGCTGGCTTGTTTGTATTTCTTCAAACCAGTTATAATTGTCTTGGGCACAGCTACGCAAAGGTGACACTTAAAATTTCAGCGTGGTAGGTTGCTGCCCAGAGGTTGTTGTTTCCCATAGAGAAGTGGATTTTTAAAAACAGAAACACCTAGATAACAGAAGAGGAGGAGAAAGCCGACTGAAATGAGCAGCCAATAACAGGCTTTTACCGACAGCCTACATCTGATGACTCAGACTAGACATGACAAAGTTCCTGAAGAGCTATGGAAGACATTCTAAAACTGTTTTCACACACTAGTAAGCTGACCTTTATGTGTAAACTCAGTGGACTGGCCCTTTAAATCACATGTTCAGCCTCTGACAGCACTGATCCAACTCCACGACATCCTTACACAGCACTGCTCCCATCTTAATCACTGTGGGACTTCTAAACACAACATGGTATCCTCCCAGCATCATAAAAATGCATCACTTGATAGCTATTAAGTACCCACTATGTTTAGGTTTTTCGCCATTCATCACCGACTGATGTGCTTGTGTGTCTGTGTGATGATAGTGCCCTCTCTCTCTGTCCCCTGCCTCGCAATGTGGGCTCCAACAGGGAGAAGTCATCTGTCTTCGTTAGCGTCTGGGGCTAAATATGCTATGCATCTGGTACTGTGCTTTCCATCCCCCCTTGGCCTAAGCAGTTTTGTTTTGTTTGTATAATGATAGGTATACTCTATGAATACATAATTACAACAAACTGTGCATGACTTGCACGTACAAACACAACACACTGCATTCTCCAGCCAGTGTCTACATATTTGAAATTGGCATTTAAACACCCTTAGTATTCACTGTGACCTCCCCAAATTAATGTGCTGCCTGCTGATTTCTAATGGGCTGTCTGCATTGTGTCTGTGACTGGCCTAAACACAGAATTTGAGAATCCAGCTCATTTACGGCCCATTTTGGAAAAAAAGAGACGAAGTTGGCCTTTGAGAAAATTAAGCTGACACTAGCATCAGTGCGAAAATTCCTTCCAAATGGACACTTAACAAGGAGCATCTGAAGATGTGTGGGTTTAAGTGGGTGTTAACAAACCATGGCATTGCTGAATGAGCTGTGGGAAGGAGAACTAAGAGGAGAATCGCTTGACTAGGGCGCCCTCCAGTGGTCTGCGGCCTCCTCCGTGGAAACTGTACTGTAAAGCTCGGATTGTACTTACTGTGCTTTTGTCTTTCAGCAGTTTCTCAATCACTTCGATCAGCTGCTCCTTCTGGTCTGCATCCAGGCTGGAGACAAAAGACAGAGGGCTTTGAAACAAATTGTCAACTAGTGAATGGCAATTATTCACATAACAAATTAAATCATGTCCCCTGTATGTGTCCAGAATACAAAGATGTCTGAGTGCTTACAGCCACTCAGATCAACTGTCTACGAGCACGTTTTATTTTCTGATTGAGGCAGCGTCCAAAACCATCCGCTGTTTCAATCAATCACTACGTCCCTATTATTAATCACTACCTACTGTTTTCTCACATTTTATAGATCAACCTACTAATTGATTAATTGAAAAAAAAATCGACAATGAATATAATTGTTGACTAGAGCTGTGATCAATTAATTGATTAGCTGATTAACAGAAAATCAGTCCACAACTGTTTTGGTAATTGATTTAACGTTGTAGTAATTTTGAGCAAAAATTCCAAACATCTGATAGTTAAAACTTCCTACAGATATTGCTTCGTACTTTTGCCTCCGTTATGATTGCAAGCTGAATATTTTGGGGGTTTTAGCTTGTTCTTGAATCAACAAGCGTTTGAATCATCAAACAATTAACACCATGTTCTTTCTTCCATTTGGGAACGTTCAAATTCATAATAGAACAGTTCTGTGACAATACTGGAATTTCTTAATTTGATACAATACTTTACAAATACTTTAGAAAATATCAATGCTTGATGGCATTATTAAAACCACAAGAAAAACACTGAGGGCAAAAAAAATCCTAACAAGGCTCTACCATGACAACGAGGTACACTTGGTCACAAGCTTCAGAGACTGTCACACGTTCCAAAGGCAATGAAGTGCACGGGTTAGCACCTTTGTTAGCCACGTTTGCATATTGGCTTGCTTGCGTCCTTTGCATTTCAACGTTCATTTGCCTTAAATATGAATGTCCTTCTTTTTTCTTAGGACACCAAAACCAGTTGCAGAGGCTCTGCACTTGACATTTTTTTTAACATAAAATGCGAGTTGAATCAATGTGTATTTCTTTTTTTTTTTTTTTCAAAAAAAGCCGTACACCAATATAGGGCATACATTTCCAAAAATAAAACTGTGTACACTGAAAAAAAGTGCAAAAATGTCCCTACGCTTGTACTGAACTATCATCTGGCAACAGCCATTAAATCAAACACTCAACTGCTCTGCTGAGGTTCAGCTTTACTAGTGTGTTCATACTTTAAGCACCTATTCATTGTTTGATCCATGCTAGTCATAGAGAGACTCGGTTGATAAGAGTAAGATAACTGCAGGGCAAAAGGCCCTTATATCAACATTACCCAACATTTACTGTATTCACTGCTCAGTTCACTGCTCAGGAATGAGGTGGAAAGAGGAGCCAGTGCAGCCAACCAGTATAGTGGCTTTATCGAAGTGATATCAGCAGCTTGTGTTACAGTCCTGAGGAACTCTACCTGTAGAGCTTTTGAATAGCATGGGCAGACGTCTTCCTGACATATGGAGAGAGGTCAGCTGCAGCCTCCTTGATGGCCAACATCATGATGGGAACAATGATGGGCACACGGATGCTGGACAAAACCCTCAGCGCACTCGCCCGGATGAACTGGTTTGGGTCCTGCCATAGACAAAGAAAGTGTTAATATGTGAAAGAATGTTTTGTATGAGAAATGAACAGACAAACAATCCCCTAGATCGCCAAAATGACCCCATTTATTAGAACGAGAAACAGAAAGAATCCTCAGATTTTCAATTTCCACATAGTCCTAGAGCTACTTGTCTCAAACTTGCCATTCCATCAGAAAAATTAACCAAATCTAAGCACAAAATTGTGATATTTCATCAACATTACTCGACATGTCTCTAATTCAACAAAATAAAGTGTTTGCTCAAACCAGATTCTGTAAAAACGTAAACATTTTGTGCTCCTCAGTACAATTAGAAAGCCATTATTGACTCAAATGCAACAGTCACGTGAGAAAAATTCGAAAACCTTTTAGCTGAACTACAGGCATTGTACACAGAGCAGATAGGAGACAGGTATGGAAACTAATGGAATTGTAAGTTATCGATAGTATGTAAAGCTATGATACTTGTTTAGTGTTGGTAATATGTGTGGGCACTGGGAAAAATATTGCAAAAGGCAATCCCAACTGGAATAAGAAATTATAGAATTCAACTTCCATTTTTTTTCTTTTTAGTATTTTATGGAATTATATTAGTTTAAATGTCTGCACAATAGATATTTTTGAGTCCTCTCTACTTGTAGTCATGATTGTGGTGTTTCCATAGAGGTGCATACATTTAAACTGCAGAGAAAAATGAGCAAAAAGTGAGGAGAAATGTGACTGGAGCAAAAAACGTTAAAAAAAACTGCTTTGGACTCCACCTTCTGAAGCAGTGAACAGTGGAGACTGTGTACCATGGCAACAATAATGCAGCAAAATAAACACCAGACAGTGGTTTCACAGTGTAACGCACTAAAAAATGTTAATAAAATAATCTGAAGGATTCTTAGTGCATGTGTCTATCCAAAAACAGATCCAAGGAGTATAAAAGTTACCTTAAGGGCCCGCTGGAAGGTGCTGATAGATAGCAAAGCCAAGTCCTGCTGTTCCTCCGCGTACCTCACCAGGTAAACATACACAAGTTTCTTAAGCTGCAAAATACAACAAGAGTACAACAATAAGAGAACAGCAATAAACTGAAACAGCTGCAAACGGAGATTAATGCAACATAAGAGAAGCTATAAAATACAAGAAACTCAACAATAATGCATGACCCAGCAAGTGAAGCCTTCCTTTAGTTTTGTTTTCCTGCATGGAGTTTATTGTTTCAAGGGGTTGGGATGAAATGCTGGTATGGAAACCTTTCCTGTCTACATTTCACAAGCTGCAGACTCAATCCAGTGTTGTTTCAGGCCATGGAGTGAGGTTATACATTTTATTTTTGGCACTTCCAGAAATTGCTTTTGAATATTTGCTGCCCCCCCGGCATGTGTTTTGCCGTCCACATCTTTTCTTTTCTTGCAGGAAAGCCTGAGATAATATTTGTCCTGCTTTCTGACGAGTTTAACTGGAGGTCAAAGGTATCTCCTCTGCTGATTCGCATCAGCTATTCAGAAAGAGAAAAGAATAAATGGACCTGATTTCTGCCTATAAGACTGTGGATTTGTGTGTAATGGAACTTTGGAGAAGAAAAAAGGGGTTATGAGAAATGATGATTTACTCAAGGAACTATTTCTAATTTCATTTATGAGCTGATTTGAGCTCGAGGTCAGGAGTAAGGTTACATTTTAGGTACAATCACCGAGAGCTTTAGCCAGTAATCAGCACCATGCTTTCTAATGCAGCCGGTATTGACCTGCAGCCGTGCACCACAGTTCTCAATCATCGTTCTGGTCATTACTGCTGGAATTAATGGCATTACTCACTATAAAAAGGAGACACAACCCATCTGCCCTCAAGGATCTGGCTTCTATGACCACAAAGCACACGACGGACTTCATTTTAAACTGCTAAGTAGGCGATTAAGGGCAGTACAAGTGAAACTTGCCCTGCATCGAAAGGGATTTTATGTCATTTCTCTTATTATTTTGAAAATACACTCTGAGGCGTACACAAATTCATGTAAGGTATGTTGTGTTAAATTGAAGAACAGAGATGATTAAAGAAAATAAAGAGCACCGGTATCAAATCACGTAACACTGTCAATAAACTGCATGTTCTTGCGCTGTTATGCTCTAATTAGTGGGGATCAGCGGCAGCTCGTGGTGACAAGCAGAGAAGGGGTGAGGGTGGGAGCCAAAGAAGAGGCCATTTTTAGCGAGATGTACTGCAGGTGAGCAGAGCGTGGAGGAGCTAGGGGAAAGACAGGAGAGAGAGACAGAAAACACAGACCGAGACCTCACACTACCCTAGCAGCTGGTGTGTATGAGACAGGAGAGAGAAGATGTGACTGTGGGCTCTCCTCTCTCAATTACATCCACCCACCTGCTCCCCTACCCTGCCATGAGCTGCTTCGGCTGCATGCCTTGCACACAGCGGCCGGCCTCAGGCCCCCCGCTCACATGCTGCCCCTCACGCTACCTGATTATTCTGCTGCTGCTAATCAATATTCACAGGTTCTGGGCATGGGAGCCCCTCTCGAGCTGTTGCTTAGCGTTTGGTCATTCGCTGGAATAGGCTGAGCACAAGTCTGTCCTGGCTCACACATTACAGCGTTTAGTCGCGTTGACGCAGGCTCATGGTGTCTTACAGTAGTGTGACTCTGCTGCAGCAAAAGTTTATAGCAAAGCTTCCTGTGCCGCTATTGATTGATAAGGGGGAATAAGTAAAAATGAGCTTCTGCTAATCCAAGCCATAACACATGTAAGTCAAGTCACTGTTGTTGATATAGCGCATTTAAAGTGACAGCCGTTGTTCTAAAGTGCTTTCCATTAGAAAAATAAGTCCGATTTTTTCCACGTAATAAGCGTACAAGTATTAGGGTAGACAGCTTTTTTTTTTTTAATGAGAAAATGATGTTTGTTGTAGTAAGTATTACAAAAGTCATTCCTGCCCACTGTAATAATGATGTACGATGACTCCCATCTGTCCAAGGAGAGGGGACTTGTCTTTAATAAAAAATAAAATATAAAAAAGTATGTAAGTACTTTTAAAGATCAAGTATTTCCATACAACTAAGAAAATTTGATTAACACCACTTCCTACATTACTAACTGATACATGTAGTTGCTGTATGTTGTATACTTTTGACCCAGCACGTTTTGTGGTATTTCCAGAAGACCTGAACATATGTGATTGTTTTTTGTGACCAACACTTTGATTCATTCCATCAAAGAAAATTAGGAGGAGTCACTTGAAACTCAAGACTGCCATGATATACATGCTCTTTACAAGTGTAAACTTTATGAGCTTTGGTGGTTGTATCATCGGACCAGTGGATGTACATCTTGGACAACCAGGTAAAGAGGGGAGCAGAGCTGGTGGTAGGTTGGCTCAGATGACAGGGACAGACCTAGTGAACCCAAACATGTAGTAAGGGTGAAGAGTTTTACACAGGAGGTTGAGGACATGGAATCAGATGGGCCATGTTTAAAGCCATCCATAGCAGAGGCAGGTGTTAGTAAAGGTTGCCCTGAGATGACTTTGGTGCTCTGTAAGTAACATTAAATTGAATTAATTTAAATTATTCTACTTTGTACAGAAACAAAAATAGAAAACAAATGTCTTCATGAATAAATACAAACTCAATAAAGGAAAAGCTCGAACGTGAAGTCAATCCACATAATCATACGATTGTTCCGTATGAGGAAGTGGTTTTTCTAACATCATGCTGAATGAACCCACGTGCTGTGCTGCACGAGAATGAATGAATCACAAGAGCCCACAGCGGTACGTAAGGAGGGCGACAGTAGGGATAAGAGCTTTCTTTGAGGCATTCCTCAACAATGTCATACCTCAATGTTCTTACTCGCAACGTTCTTCACAACTGCAGGAAACAACTCAGATGCATTTTTTCCTTTGGCAATGAGCTGAAACACAACAAACAAATATTAAAACTAATGTCACCAATGTGAAATTCAGCTGCAGAAAGAATGCACACACAAAAAGAAGAGTTTTTGTGAAGTCCTATAATGCGCTCACCCCAACAATCCTCTTCATGGCCTCCAGTTTGAGCGACTCCTTGCTGCTCTCCAACATCTCTTTAAGATCTTCATTCCTGCGGACAGAAAATATTCTTGGTCTTACTGTGATCAACACCAGAGAATTAAAGCACTCCTGAGGTGACTACTCAGTTTGGGATGTTGACCAACGGTGCTGTGAAAGTCCTGTGTATAAGACACCTGTGACGGTCTCACAGATTACGGGGCCCACGTGCAAACAGACAATGCAAACAGCAACAATATTGTCTAAACCAACGCGACAGCAGCAGCATCACAACCATTTTTGCTAAATTGCTGAGCACTCACATGATGCTCATTCTTCAGCTAATGCAAACACACACTGTCATTCTGAAACTGCACAGCAGGTTGTTTGTTCCATACAGAGGCCGTGTAGGACACAAGACAAATTGTCAACTTAATTTATTCAATTTTATTTAAGTAGTGCCAAGTCACAAACCAGATCATCTCAGGCCAATTCACATAGGAGAGCATCAGGCACTTGGCAACAGGGGGAAGAATAGTTCAAATAGCTCATTCTGTTATATGTTATAGTCTGAACACATCATTCTGCTACAGGGGAAAGAAATGCTCTGATTGTTTTTATTTCTAGAAATTAATCACAGTCATTGTAGGCGGAGCTAAGCAAAGGATGCGGCTTCAGTGTTCCCTCGAAATAGTGACGGGTGGAATTTTTTTGGTGGAACATTTTGAAATACCAGAGAATGGATCAGCTCCGACACTGACAGTTCTGCTGTCGTTACTGTAGAAATGAGGAGAAACATTATGTTTCACTTGTGTGAGGGGCGGTGCAGCTCGGTAACACGCCTACAGCGCACACAGAGACTCTGCTTTTGGTGACGATGAGGACAAAGCAAATGTTCAAAAGTGAGATTAAGCTTCAGTACATTTAGTGCAGACAACACTGATAGTGTAACAATTCTTATGCATGTGAGGGCGGAAACACGAGCAATCTGTTGACACATCCAGTGACAGGCTGGCTACGGCCATAAATTCTGCCTAAAATTTAGACAGTGGTTCAGAAATTCAGTTTATCTTCTGAAGTACCTACTAGCGATAACAATCAAGAAGGAAGAGTGGTGGGAGCAGAATTTTAAAACATAAAAAGAAACTTGTCAGTACAAGATTTCTACAGTAAATGTAGTTCAATAACCGATGACCAAATTCAAGCTAAAGATTTTCCCACCAGCTTGACTATGTATTTAGTGTTAATCACCAAATACGAGCATGCTAACACACTAAAATAAGAGCGTGATTTTACAACTGGTAGAGATCAGGAAGTAAAATTGTCAATGTGAGCATGTTAACATCCTGACAGAGCTGCTAACTAGGAAGTCAACTACAACTGCTGTAGGATTTGATTCATGCATCAGGATAATTCATTACTAAATCAGTTTAATACTGAAGCCAGCAATGCGTACTATTCTCTCCATCATTTTCGAAGTGTGGCGGTGCAATATAATAAACTTCACCCATCAGAAACAAAACAGACTTTCATGATGTCCACTGCTGTAAAACAAAACAGAAGAAACCTAATCCTCCATGGTGCTGAACAACAGGTCTGCTTCTTTTCATCTGTTTTCCTATTATTCACATTCTTAATAATAGGAAAAATTAGAAATAAAAGTCAATGCTTATAAATGTTGTACCTGTTGTTTGTGACCACAAAAAAGGTCAAACAATCGGTGAAAAGGTGTAGTTTGTACGTGGCTGCTAGCGTATCTGTAGGCTGCTGGTTTGACTTTTTTGCTGGTCAAAGTGACTGAAAGTTTGTCAGTAAGAAGATGACGTCTATTTAATTCCTCGTTTAGCCTAATCCCAAGATTTCATTCAAAATCAATTCTTACTTAGGAAAGTTAAAAAGTTGGAAATCATTTTCATAAATAGAATATAATTGTGTTTTTACGAGATTGTTTCGTAAAAAAAAAAATAATTTTAAGTAGATAATGCACAATCATCAGAAGATTAGGCTTGCACACCTTCCCAGGTTAAACACAAAAAACTTTTTTCAAAACATTATTTTAAAGTTTGCCACATCTATTATAAATTATGTGTCACACAATTTTTCTGTGGTTTTCTTTTGAATGACACTAAAAACTCTGAGATGAGCTGACCAACTTCACGAGGAAACAATAACCTGATCTATAGTCTTTGTTTTTTGTTTTTTACAGGATTCAAGAGGTGCTATGGGTGCTCTTACGACAGTACCCGGCTTTGTGCGCCTCCTTGGGGTTACTGCTGGTGTGTGTGAGGGCCCGTTCTTCCTGACTGAGCTCAGCCTTCAGAGTGAGCTGTAAGTTCTCAGCAGACACCAGCGCTGTCCTCACGACTCCCACCGCCTCCGAGCGCAAAGAGGAGAAACCAACATCCATACCGGCTTCCTTCCACAGCAGTCCAAAAAACACAGCAGTCCATTCAACAGCTAGTAAGTCTTCAGTGTTTTTGTGTATATGTGTGTGTGTGTGTGTGTGTGTGTCCACAAACACAGCTGACCGTATTTCCACAAACTGAAGAGTGAACGAGAGCTGTGGTAATTACTTTCCTTCAGGCTGTGTGCCTTGTTCTCTTGGCTTTATTTACAGTTGTCTTCTTGTCTTGTTCATAACTGTTGAATCTGTGGAAAAAAACAGCTCGAGCTCCAATGCCTTTGTGACTGTCATTCACTGCTCCCTTCCTCTTCTGCTGGGCAAAAAAAGTCACAAGATGCCCCGTCAGCTCGCTAATGGCAAGTCATCTTTGTGCCTGAGAGTTGTGCCTGCTCACTGGGGTAAGACCTCCTTCTCTTCTGAAATGCTGCTGGTCAGCTCGTGTTAAAATGTTCCTCCCGTCTTCTTACACATGTAGACTTTGGTATGGAAAGCCGGCTATCTCACCTGCCGCCTGGCTGCATATGTGACTCTGTCTGTGTGCGACTGTGGTCACTTCCCTCTAAGGGAAAAAGGAGGGCCTTATCTAGACGGGTGGGTAAACAGTGAGCTACTTTTCATCACCACCACTGCACAATAATCCACTTTAGCTTGACAAGCGTGCATACCCTTCCAAGTTTGGCTGACAAGGCCAACAGGACAGGCCCACATCAAAGATAACAGGACCGAGTTGAATGTCAGGAAATACCCGCAAAGACGTGAATGGAACAGAAGGATTTAGGAAAGGGACTAATCTGCCTCCTGCACTTTCCTTGAGAGTAAATAAGTGACCTGAGGGCTACAGTGAGTCATGACTCTGGTCAAGTTCACAACACGATGGCGTGTCGAAACTGTGTAACCCACAACCCACAGGTTCAAAAGGCATGTTATCTAAGAAAGAAAGAAAGAAAGAAAGAAAGAAAGAAAGAAAGAAAGAAAGAAAGAAAGGAAGAAAACTAGAAGCCAGAAGTTGTAAAAACCAAAAAAAAAAAAAAAAAGATTTGTTGCATCTTTAGCTTTTTGTCACTGCTGGACCGTGTCACTTGCTGCTACATCAGGAAAAATAACCGAAGATACGCTTAAAATTTCTCTGAATATTTCATGGGAAAATAACTTCATTCTAAGTCTAATTCAAAAAGTTGCAACAAATAAAACATTAGTTGGAGAGCCCGTTAAAAAAAAAAAATGCAATCCTCAGCACATCTGAGAAGGCACGAGTGACTCAGCTGTGACCGACAGTCACAAGACAAAAATTTAGCGACTTTTAAAATGCAGACTGCACAGAGAAGACAATGAACAAGAGATATTCAGAGGAAAAGTCAGTAAACTTTATCAGTGAAATAAATGCAGCATGGCTCAAAAAGAATATACAGATAAGCAAATGGTCAGCCAGTTGTTGCCAACGTTGTAAAACATCTTTCTAGATTTGATGTGCAAAATATTGTGGAAAAAGTTCGTAGAGGTGGTAAAATGTAAATAAGCCAAGTCACACAACATGCAGAGCCCTCTTTTTATTTTTATTTTTTCCAGTACTGTTAACACCTCTGGGCACTTGGGAATATGTTATATTTATATTGATTCCAGGTTTTCTAAATTTTTGTGAAATAGCCAATCAAAGAAACTCAACTTTGTTATTTCTTTTTTTTTTTTATGATTTATGTCATTATAATATATTATATTCTAATGCTTCTGTGCAGTATGACACAGCATGGTGGTGCTCTCCCTATAGGACCTTATACTGCTGTGAAAAAATGAGCCCACAGTGACGAAAAATGCGACATGACCAAATAATGCTGAGAAACTGCTTGGAGTTCAAATGGTTCAATGTGCTATCAGTGCACATTGGGAACAACATATGTACTCTTAAGTACAGTGCAGATGACAGGAGACTATTTTTAGTAGCTTTGTCTAAAGTTTCCTTACATAAATGATGTGACTGTTAAAGACTTAAATCTCGTTTTACACGTGTTCAGCATGACAACAACACGACTAAAGCTGCAATGATTCATCGATTCAACTATCAAAATAACTGCCAACTATTTTGACAATCAAATCATCAGTTTGAGTAATTTTTGAAGAAAAAAGGAGTTTTAAAAAAAACTTTAATTCTAACTTTCTGTTGTGTTTATTTCTTTGTGACAGTTATTATCTTTGGGTTCAGGACAAAAGGAGACGTTTGATGACATCTTGAAACACCGATCAACACTTTTCACAGTTTTCTTTTCTTACCTAAACAACTATTCCAGAAAGTAATCCACAAAGTTTTTACCAATGAAATCATTAGTTGCAGCCCGATTAACAACCATTAAATACTATTGCCTATGAATGCCACCTTTCCAGCATTTGCAGGCAGTTTGTTACTATTCACAAATGGTTCATCTCTGTTTGATTTGGCTGTAAGCAGCTAAGTGTTTTTTAATTATCTGTCAATGGGGGAGATGATATATAAACAGACAGTGGCAGACAGAACAATGCAACATGGCTGAAATAAGATCAAATATGTCCTGACAGGAGAAGTTACAGCTATTGAATACTGTTCAGGAATAAATCCCCCAAAATGTTCTTTTATGTGCTTCAAACTGCAATATATTCTGTTATAAGTCTTTTATTAAATGGCAATATAATGGTTGATT